ATCATTGTACAGTAACAGTATCGAGAGCAATGACAACTAGACGGGTATGCAGACGATGGGCGTGGCAGTCGTACGGCCAGGAGGTCATGGATGGCGACTCTGAATCCCCGCGGCGGCCTCCACCTTCAGCACCTCAGCCAGCAGCGCGTCCCGACCCTCCTCCAGAAACTGGATGTACTCTTTCGCCTTGAAGAGGATCCCGCTCTTACCCTTGCTACCGCGCCCCCTGCTGCCACTGCCCTTCGGTCGACCCCTCGTCGGCATTCCCGTCCCTGGCGGCGCGCCCGCGGGAGCAAGCAGTGTTGTGAGCTGCAGGTAGCCATCCCGTATGGCATTTCGTCTCTTTTGCTCGGACAAGATGTGGTTCAGCCTCTTTTGAGGAGTCGAGAGCAAGGCCTTTGGCCGTGAAGACGATGGAGACGCAGGGGAATCCGCTCGCTGCGAATGTGTGGGTGACTCTGACTGACCGCGATGGGGAAGGGACGGCTGCGGTGCGTGGATGATTGTATGCTGGAGTTGCTGAAGGGGAGGAGGCCGTTCGTTCAGCGAGGGGTCAATGTGTGGGGGCCCTTGAGTAGGGGGAGGGGGTATGAGACCAAGACCGTGCGCATCTAGCGGCGACCCATTGTCGAAATGATGCGGTGGAAAGGCCTGCTGCTCGTGGGGAGTGTCGAACGGTAGACTGCTGAAGGCAGGGCCCGCTTGCGCAGGGTCAAAGTCGAAATCGAAATTGAAGTTCTCGAGGAAGCCGAAGAGGTCTGTAGTTTCGGAAGGGGAAAAGAGCTCTGCGGAGGAGGGAAGCGGGGGCGGCGAAGGGAAGAAGGGTGCGGGGGATGCGGAATTGAAGAACTGAAAGTCGTCGAATGCGCCTGGCGGGGGCGGCGGGGGTGGCTCGTGCGGGGACATGGCTGGGAGGAGATGGCCGGCCACAGCGCGTCTGGGGCCGGGGTGCAGCCGAGCCGCACCGGCCGTGTCCGGGGGCGGGCGGCGTGGCGAGGATGGGGATAGCGGGGATTGGCTGGGGAGGCCGGCACGATGGCGCCGCGGAATGATTATGGCCCCGCGGCGGCCTGGGGAGCGGTAAGCGAGAGCGGCTCGGAAGCCCCGCCCATCTCCTCCATGTCGGCCCTCAGCGAGGCCTCCACGCCGGCCCAGGACGCCGCCGCGCCGTCCCTCGACGCCCACCACCTCCAGCACGCCCACCTCGCTGGCGACCTCCACGCCCAAGGCATCCTCCACAACCATCCCCCGCCCTCCTCTGTCTCTGACTCTAATCGCAAACGTGAGCGTCCGGCCTCCATCTGCCCCTGTTCGGCCACTGAGCGGTCATTTTGTAGCTAAACCACCGTCTGTGCGCCGGGCTTGCACCGCGTGTCATGCGGGTAAAACTAGGTGCAGCGAGGTCCTCCCATGCCAGGTAAGCCATCGCATATACCCCACTCCCATCATCCCTGACCGCCCGCAGAGCTGTCTCAAGAGAGGTTTGGGCGGGCAATGCCAGTACCCAGACCCCGACGTTGACAACGCATCGTCGCACAACCAGCAACAAGCAGGTATGATAAATCTCGCCCTCATTCTCGCGTGCTCTTACCGAGCGGACTCGGTAGCCCCCGTGCAGTTCGCGCCGCCTCCAGCCATGTATGCGCAGCCGCCGCCACCTCCGCCAATGCAAGCCCTAGGGCACGGATATTATGACTACACTGCCTTTGCAGCCAATCCCGCGGCAGCAAGCACGTCCGCGTCGGCGAACAACACCAGCTTTCGCCCCACCAAACGCCCACGCAATCTTACTGAGGAGGAGGCGGCAGCCATCACCCGCAACTTCACGCGCGGCGACTTTTTCGTCGGCACGAGCGCCCCAGTGCGCATCGACCCCCGCCTGCCCGTCCGCTTGACGCTGGCCGAAGGCGACCAAGTTCATTTTACCATCGGGGAGGCTATGGTTTGAACGGACCATGTATCATAGTACGTCTGTCAGCTTGAGTCGTGTATTTTTGTCTTCTTGTGTCGTCTTGTTTTGTCGTATATCCGCTCTGTATGTTGGAAGCTCATCGCCTGAATTCTGGAGGCCTCAATGTATCGTGTTGTTCACCGTTGTAGATTTTGTGGCTGTTCCTACAGGTTCGGCCGCAACAAAAATCACGGTCTATTGTTTTCTCATCTATTCAAGACCCCGGTCACACATTCAAGAACGAGCAAAACGGTAGGCTTGTATTTACTCCCTAGCTACCGCTGCGAAGGAGCAGTCTGCACAAGTTGACCTACTCAGTGCGAATGGATCGCAATGGGCAACTGAGGCAAGCGGCTGAATATGTATGTCTGTCACCCTTGGAACATATATATGTTGAGATCATTCCACAGGCTGCGCCTGATGTTTCCGTGGAATTTGGGATCTTGTTCCCATGTCAGCCGCAAAGGAATGACTGAGAGCCTGAGCTTGTGATCCTGTCATACGGTGGTTATTTCCCGTACCGTCGGACTCACCCTTCTTGTTGTCTGGTCCTTGCATTGATATCGAGGCATTCCTCAAGCTCTAGACCTGTCTAAGTGGCGCTACCACACGGCGTGGCCGACCCAGCCTAGTAGCGTCTGGATGACTAGAGCTAGGCCCGTTGATTGATGTACCCATGACCCCAGAATAGAGGAGCAAGCCGGCTTTGAAGAGGTGATTTGCAGGCAAGTCGTGCTGCCCGTCATACGTACTACAGAGTGGGTATTTGCTTGTTGTGTCCTTTATGAGAGGCTGACAGACTACTCAGTAGTAATGAGTCTTTGTGCAAACATTGAGTCGACAATCTCCGCAAGTCGCTGTAGGACTGACATATACATGCGCAGGAGATTGGCAAAACCGATTGGGAGGGGGCCTGGAGACGAATCTGTCAGTCAACCGTGCCTGCTGTGTAGCCAATAAGATGTGGGTGATGCTTGCTCTCCCAGAGCCCGACTGGGCCAGACATCTCATGTATAGTCGGTCACAGGGAGGCGGGCCCGGGGTGCGAGGTTACACTTTGATGGACCCAAGCTAACTATGCTCGGGGTTGAAGATTCTTTCCGGCACCCTCTCAGGAAAAACTGGCTACATATCTCCGGGCATCAGGTATATATCAACGGTTCCCAGAGTGGATTGGATTGCACCATACAACTGGCTGAAGGTCACACTCGTATGTGTTCTCGGTCCTTATCGCCGATTTGTGCACCCACGAATGACAGCCTGAGTCGCTGTGCGATGCTATGCGATTATCAGCAGCGACTGAGGTGGCCGGTCTCAATGAGCAACATACTCGGTACACACCATCGAGGCAGGATAGCGGCCCTCTGAATAGGTGACTATGTCAACGGATGTAAAGTTGTCGCTGACGAGAAATGTATGGAGCCGTCGGTTGGGACGCTAAGTACGAATTAGTATAGCATCGTACCAGGGTACACCACTACCGTGACCAGGAACCCCGTTCTACGAAGATCTCATACTACATCATGTAATACATGTTATGGCGCAAACATAGTCGACTGATTCCTCTAATGCTGCCCAAGTTGTGCATACAATTCAATGTGTTGGACACACATGAGTGCACCGTTACCGTGAGGGTTGTCAGGCTCCACTAAGTAGTATATTTACTGATAGCATGTGGTGAGATGGCCGAGCGGTCTAAGGCGCCAGACTAAGGCATTTGTCATCTTGATTACGTAATCTGGTCTTTCGAGGCGTGGGTTCGAATCCCACTCTCATCATTTTTCTTTTATAAGTTTGCTGGCAGCAATGTTTCAGCCAAACGACGAGGAATCAATTAATCACCTCGCGACCCTCTATAAAACAACCGGCTCCAAAATGTGTGATGGTGAACATTTCTTTTTGCTTGTGCCACATTCTGGGTCATCGTTCCTTTATGTCACAAGCGGCAGGGCAACAAGGATCATGACAGTTTTGATACACTACACTGTGAGTAGCAGAGCTCAGGAAACGAATCATACGGTGCGGCGAGTGAGAGGTCATACTAAGATCATGGCAGAAGAAGCGATATAAATTGCTACAGCTATAATACAGACAGAACCACAATGCAAGGACGTAGCAGCGATCGTGAACTCATACAAAGCATCATTGTTCGTTGTCAGACTTGCCCTTCTCTTCCCTGATTTCCAAATCCGCATTGGTATCCGCCTCCACCTTATCGTGAATATGCTTCTCGGCAGGGCGCCAGCTACTTGACTTCCACGGTGGGATCCTGGAACGGTAGAGCTCGTCGACCTCCTCCAGCGAGAGGCCCTTCGTCTCGGGGATGAATAGGTAGACGTAAACGAAGCCAAAGACGAGCATGCCGCAGAAGATGAGCAGGATCAGAGGGCCAATATCGTCGGCAATCCTCGGCGAGAAGAACGAGAGGAGGAAGTTCCACACCCAGTCTGCAGATGAATCCATTAGCATGGGTCACGAAGCTTAACACGGTGGTACGCACTTGTTGCGGACCCGAGCGCGATGCCTTTCGGGCGGACACGCAACGGGAACGACTCGCCGAGATACACCCAAGGTGTAGGACCCCAGAAGACGGAGAAGCCCAGGACATGCAGGACGGAGAATGCGATGAGGACATTGCCACCCATCTTCTCCGTCTTCGTGAGTTGGTCAACGGGAGTGCCAGACGGCGCGAGAAGGAAGTGGCCGGCTAGGCCAGCAATTAAGGCGCACACGGCCTCGAATGCGGCACCGGTCATGAGGGACTACAAGCGCAACACGTAGTTAGACGGTAAGGTAGACTACCAACAACGTAGTGACGCACCCTGCGGCGGCCCCAAGTGTCGATCAGGTAGAGAGCTGGGAGAGTTCCGGCGACGGAAACAGCGCCAAGAATGACCTGGATGACGTAGGCACTGAGCTGTGTACCCGCGCTCTTGAAGAAGGTATCGCCGTAGTAGTCTAAGGAACATCGTCAGACTTGAGTAATATAAGAATTCGACAGCGCCTACAGTAGAAGTTCTGCCCGTTCAGTTGCTGGATGAACTGGAGCATCATGCCGTTGATCGTACGCTTCCAGAGCATGTTGCGCGACGAAAAGCACTCCATCCAAGTCGCCTTTCCTCCGTCGTTCTCCGCGTGTATACCGAACTCGAGCTCCTCCATGATCTCAACGACTATGGGGTCGTCCTCGGACACACTGTTCAGCTCAGCCACAACGGCACGAGCCTCCGCGCCCTTGCCGGTACCGAGCAAGTGTCTCGGTGATTCCGGAAGGAAAAAGATGCCGGAGAGAAGGATGAAACCCCAAGCGATCTGCAAGCCGACGGGGATCCGCCACGATGCGGGGCCGTCGATAGAGTGCGTTCCGAGGTCGATCACATACGATATAAATACACCTATGATGATCTGAACTTGGTAAAGAACGAGGAGCATTCCGCGGAGCGCTTTCGGCGCTGTCTCCCCATTGTAGAGAGGTACAATTGCTGGAGCACACATTGAGTGGGGTATTAGGCACGACTATCACCTGAACTCACCTGACAGTGCGCCTACACCCAACCCCGCAACGAAACGGCCAACGACTATCTGGGCAAGGGAATGTACGGTGGAGGTTTGGATCACAGTGCCGACAGTGAAGATGAGTGACCAAATGAGGATGGAACCACGCCTGCCGAAGCGATCCGAGGTGAACGCCTGGCCGATGGCACCTACAATCGTACTGAACACGCCACCATGAGTTCTTGCTATGCATATGGATGGCAGCCAACAAAACATACCCAGCGGACAATAGAGACGTGATGATAGATTGCCGGGAACTCGAGAGCGTAAATGACCCATCCGCGTTTTGTTGACCGAAGCGGCCGATAAAGTCGGGCATAATCAGACATCCCTAGGGTTGAATCGTGTCAAAGAAACTATGGGTATTTGCATTGATCAAAACGTACTGATATGACACCAATATCGTAGCCGAACAGGAAGCCTCCTATATAGGTGTCATGGTCACTATGAGCATGTCAACGTTAGAGACAGTGAAGCACCCACCGAACGCAATGAAGATGGCCAATAAGACCGCCTTGCGGTTCGAGGGGATGGCCATGGTACCGCTCGTCCGGATATCAACACGTACGGTGGCAGAAAGGGCCAGAGGACGCAGTCCGGGTTCCCTCTCGCTTCTGTTCGTTCTTTATATTCCAGCGGGGACACCGTGACACTGCATGAGAGGCATTTTCCGGGGTTCACGCAAGGTTTGCGCTGTGATCATGCTCGGGAGAAGGATCAAGGGCGGTCCGGTTTGCAGACGTGCGGACCGTTCGTTCAGAAGGGCATATCGAGGGCGCTCGGAGTAGAAGGAGCGTGTGCTGATGTGGAGCCCCGCGCTGAGAATGATGGGATCCGGGGCCGGGATTCCCCTTGATCAGTCTGGTGGCTTTGGAAAGACCTGCACCTATGCGGAGCCTCTACGTCCGGCTCACACCGAGAATGGTGCGAAGACCCGTGCTGGATTCGCCAGAGGTTGGAGGCACAGTTATATCTGTGCTTCAAAGCACAGTATGGGCCATACGACATACATGTCGCTAGCGCCAAATACTTACACGGTCCATGTTGATTGATGGGACACCGCTCTTACCCTACAACGCCCCAGCCGTGTCTCGGATGCAGAACTACTTGAAAGCGGCGTCCGTTCCCACTCGACTTCGCCGCCGCGCTGGGTCTTGGGACTCTGGCCGAGTGCGATTCGAGACTTCAAACTTCACTGGCAGCCTCGAAGACCGGCCATTAGTATAGCGCTATCTGTTATGCGAGATGAACGACTCGGAGTCGATACTTTGTTTATGGAACAGCCGACCACTCGCAGGTCAGGCGGTAGTAGTGAGTAGTACCGTTAAAGTGTGTATCCTCGAAAACAAAGCCAGCGGTTATGGGCATTGGCTCACCTGAGGGCTCATAGATGTGAGGCGAGTCGCAAACCCGCAGGTGTCATGTTCCGGACAGCTTGTTCACTGCAATGCGAGGTGCATGTAGCAATAACTGTTGTCCATGGTACCATAGTACAAGATAAAGATGACACTGAAGGAGGAGGAGCTACATATGCCATCGTGGCTGACAGCGAGCCGATTAAACAGACGCGGCGGCGGGCAGGATCGGCATCGATCATTGTCTTGGTGGCTGACTTTGTGTCCACAGAGAAGCATCCAATCTAGCCAACAGGCCGCCTCGTCTACGCATTGAGACGTTGTCCGTCGATATGGCCCCATTCTTAAAGTACTACCTATAACTCATCTTTGCTTCCCTCAGTCCAGCTCGAACAGCGCGCGGGGCACCTGGACGGCGCGCCATTCGTCCCTCCCTGCATACACATCGTCACCAATCTGCGGCACGCCATTTCCTGTCGGCAATGCACCCTCGGCCCTAGAGATGTCTCTGTGTTGCACGACCTGGGAGGGCCTGCGAATGGGGTGGTCAGATATGCCGAATCATGCATGTTGTCCGAGCGACCTACCTGGACTGAGGTCTGAGTTGCTTCCATGCATCCTTTCCAGCCTTGTATACACCATAGCCATCTTGACCGATCGTCCATGCATCTTTCGCCGCGCTAACGACTTGGCTTGTCGATATAGCGCCAGAGCCCATTGAGCTGGCAAAAGCGGTCAGCGAGCTGCAGATATACGGGTAGTGCTTATTGAAACACTCACCGACTCTTGAGCTGATGATACGCGTCTTTGCCGGCCTCAAAAGCATCCTTGCCGGTCTCGTACACATCGTGAACATCGTTTCCTATTTGAAGGGCATCGTGCCCTACTTGTAGGAGATTCTGAGATGAGATGGCACGAGATTTCACAGAACTGGACGGCGGGAACGTTTTGAGCCACATAGTGCACGTTTGGACAATTTAACAGGCACACTGACCTGCCCTTGATTTGGTGCCGCGCATCCTTCCTGGCCTCCCACGCATCCGAGATAGTCGTTGAGCCTGGCACCGAGCTGTGGTGACGAGCAACATATCAGCCCGAGGCTCAAAGAGGGATACACACAGTGCAAATTTTCGACGCACCTGCTCTGGGTTGCTCGCGGGGCATCCTTGCCTGCGTCGTCGGACTCGTCGTAGACGTCGTCACCAATCTGCCCCGCGTCCTTCTCGGCGCGTACGACGCCAGGTAGCAACACAGTCCCACCACAAGCATCGACTTCCCTCCTATCAGGAGCGAAGTCAGTGAGTAAGTACAGTGTATACGTACTTAGTGGACTCACCTCCAATTAGTGCTATTCCAAAGCGATTTACCGGCCTTGAGTGCTTCATACGCGTCCGTGCCGTACGTCAGCGCGTCTGAACCATACTTGAATGCATCCTTCGCGATGTTAGAGATGGTCTTAGAATCTTTGCTCGCATCCTCTACGCCATTAATGATCGACTTGGCCGGGAGAGCGCGGCCATAGATACGGTCTGCTTGACGGGAGTAGGTGTGGCGGGAATGATAGGGGTACCGTTGGATACCGTTCTCAAAGTCCGGAGGAGACCGGCGGACGGGTCGCGGACGCCGATAGATTTGTCTGTACTCCTCGTGAAGGGTGGGGTACTGGTGCGTCTCGTGTTCAAGACCATGCTGAAGGTGAGCCGGAGAGTGACGAACAGTCTCCTCGTCTCCTCGATTGATAGGCGGGGTAGGGCGTGCGCTTTGATATGAACGTAAGTATGTGGTAATATGCCTCGACACCCCACTTACGCGACGAGGTTCGGAGCGGATATGAGAGCAGCAACAATGATGACGGCGGAGGTGCGCAT